GAATATAATACAAATATTCTAATGTGAATATAAATAATAGCATAACTTTTTACTAACCAACAACAAGGATAGGAAATTATCAATTTGACATCTTCGATAATTCTACTAGAAACTTTAATCTTTGTCTAATTTAATTTTTATTCTTTCCTAGTTATAAGAATTAGAAAAAGTAAAGAATACAATAAAAAAATTGGTGTTAATCTGTATTGATAAGAATGAACAGTAAAGAATTTGGAGATAAATAATCGGAAACGAAAAATTGAACCGAGATTAAACTATATTCATAGAAACGGATACAAAGCTTACAGCATAAAACATATTTTTTCCTGCTGAATTGTTTGCGTTTTAGTTAAATAGAATTGCACTATATAGATAATGCAGAATTTCTAGTAATTATTAAAACGCAAGCAATAAATGCAAGAAAACATGTACTGTAAAAAATGTACTACTCTAGACTAATGTTTTATTTATCGTATGACACATTTTTTTTCTAAATTCATGTTAATTGACTATTGAATAGAGAAGTTCTCGACTTTCTAGAAATCCTCAATAATGGACTACGAGATGTAGTCCATTATTGAGGATTTCTAGATCAATACGTTCGAAAAATTCGTCGTAGGACAAATAAAATATTAGCCAAGTCAAAGGAAACGGCAGATGATTTTCGAATGGATGCTTTTCTATTCTTTCTCCCTCCATTATCGTAATGTATCGGTCGTGACCCCTTTGCGGGCTGCAATATGGTCGCGCCGGTCACTTATGGAGTGCACGTGTCAGTCAAACATTGCGCTTAAGCGTATTCCAAAAATACCGCATTACGAGTAAATTTTAAATCACCTGCAAAAAATGATACTCAAGCGAGCAATAATTACACGCGTCATTTGTTTACATGGGGAATTAACATACAATAGTATGGTCTCTTTTTTTTATTTCTGCACTGGATTGCACTATAGAATTTTTTTTTAAAGCCAAATAACATCAAATGAAATATATACCTACATATTTCATTTAAAGTTTCAAAAGTATGTAAAATGTAAAAGTACTAGTTTAGCTAAAAATAGATCTACAATGTCTATTTCTATCAATGTAGATTAACTTTAATCTTGGCTTAAATTGCTTTAATTTTAAAAATTAGAAAAACATAAAAAGAATTAACTCAAAATTAAAGTTGATCTAATTGGGACAAATGGGACATAAATCTAATGAGAATAAAGTGCGCATTTTTTTTTAGTTGTCATCAGTTTAGAAAAAAATCATATCGCTCTCGCTCTTTCCTTCTCTAACATATCGAATTGGAGAAAGATGCTGATGGATTCATGCGGATTCTTTCTAATGTAGCACAGCTGTCAGGAAATGCGCATTTTATATCTACTACGTCTCTGAACAATTTACGTGAATAACGCGCGAATTTCGAGTGATTATTGTTACAGGATCAATCTACAGTAATCTATCTTTCCATATACACATCGTGTACAAAGATAAATGTCTGTTTCATACATTCCATACGGTAATGCTTGCA